TAGCAAGGAAGTATAAAAACTTCTTGCGAACATCTTTTTTGTGTGTGGTCAGAGGATCAGTGGAAAGAGTTTTTTTTAATTTAATTAATTATATTTTAAGATCTAATTATTACTGTAGCAAAAACTCAATATAAATAAAGAGTTGTTGGATTTTTTCTAACAATAAGTTACAAGAGACTGGTTAAAAAACATTAGTAAAACAGGTTTATTATAAGATTTAATTCAATAATTAACTAAACTAAAGTTGCATGAAACTTAAAATTGTTTTATATTAAATATAATTTCAATGTATAAATTTATTGGATTTAAAATTAATCATGAATATAATAAATTCAATAAATTGAATTTCTATTAATTCTTTTAAAAAAAAAAGCAAATTATATTTTGATTATAAATTTAAAAAAAAATTATTGCAATCAAAGTATCAATAGTAATAAACTGTTAATATCTTTAATTGAAAAATATATTTATTCAAATTACTAATAAGATAAAAATCATTTCAATAATAATATTATTGAATATGTTGAATAAAATAAAAACTTTTAATAAATATAAAATACATACTGTATAGGCAATAAATGACTAATAAAGTAATCTGTTCAATCAAATAGCGGGTAAAAAAAAAAATAAAATACAAAAATAAAAAAAAAATCTTTATCTCTATTACTGCTATATTATATACTGTATTACACAATTTTGTTTCTTATCGCTTAATTAATAATCGATCAATTGTATAATCTTTAGACAAATTAAAAAATTCCATATCAAGATTTTTATTAATATTAACTATATCGAATATCCGTTATATCGAGTTTTATTGTGTATATATGATATGCTTGAGCATAAGGGGAGCAAATTTAATATTTGGAACGTCGATCATAGATCGACAGTGGGTTTGTTCTTAAATTTTTTTGTTGCTCTTATGGAGGACCGAAACCTAAAATGATCTCCATAAAGGGTGTACATATGGTCGCGAAATTGGAACGTAAATATACTATGACCTTTCGGTATACCTATTCAAATTAAAATAAAATTATGAAATAAAATCTGTTTAAATTTTTCTAAATAATATTACATACTCTTCAACTTATTCTCTTTTGTAATCAACTTAAAGGTATTTTCAGTTTCTTGGATGTTAATTCCGGTAACACCGATGTATGATGCACATCTTGATTTCGAAACTATTTCGGGGGTGTTAGAAATAATAGTTTAAGGTTTGATCAAAGCATATCAAATTCACCTGTGAGAATTGCACCATGAAAATCAGCTTTTAATAATTTCTGTGCAAAAACGGCTGGACTTGAATTTCCATTAAGTTCTCCCATATATTGAAGCCAGAGTTCGTTTAAAGGAATAAAAATTTCATACCTAAGAAAGAATATAATTGATAAAATTGCATGCATCGATCATATAAGAAAAATAGAAACTTACTTGTGGCATTCCTTTGGAATCTCGTATATCTTAGTTTCTCTTTTTTCTTTTGCACTCATGGCTTTGATTTGTTTTCTTAATTTGATTCGTTTTTTCTTTTCCTCAGAAGTTTTTAAAGGATTATCAAGTAATATGACTTTGCCTTTAACTTTTGACTCGTAAACTTTCGTAGGATCTTTGTTTGTTGACTCTATGGAATTCATTACAAAATTAGGCACAAATTTTTTTGTCGTTTCGGATCTCGGTGGTGATTTCTAAGAAAAAAACAGTTAACAAAAAATCCTTGGTGTTTTTATTAAACCTCCTTACTTCATTTTTCGCCTCTGTTGAATCCTGGACATATTTTGGAAGACGTGAATACATATTAGTTAATTTTCAGATAAACACGATTTGATGTGAAATACGCCCCCAAAGTGCGGATTACCTAATAAACGCGCCACAATGCCACATATGATAATCTGGTTTTTGAAAATTGATCTTTTTACGCCCAAGCCATATGTTTATTAAATAAAGCTCTTTGCTAATTATTTGAATTACTTTTTCAAAGTAAATTGGTAATACAGAAAAACATTGTCTTCTATTTATAATAAAAAATTTTTATTTGATTTTTTTTTTTTTTTCCTCTGTCAGGTTAGTTATATATGCTTTATTAAATATTTGCAAGATGTATATATTAAATGAAATGCTAAAGTTAATTCTTTAACTAACTCACTTATTTTGATTATTTTATTTCTCTAAATATAACTTTAAAAATAATTTTTTGCTCCATTAGAAGTTTAGATAAAAACCTTTCCAACTTCTAATATCATTGCCTGCAGGTTACTACTGCAGATCACTCTTTTGAGCTCTGACAGAGATCAAAATCCTAACTACTTTATATTATATTTCACACTGTTTGATTGGATTTCTTTCAACTTCTTATCTTTGATTCTTTTTTCTTCATATATCAACTTCTTACTAAATCAGCTTTTTGTACTTTTGCTCTTTCTTTCCTGATTCCATAGATATACTGGTTTTTTAATTTTGTTATATTTGCAGATTCCTGATATTTGTTTTTACTTGATCACCTTTCATATCTTATATTCTATATTTTCTTTTGGAAGTAGTTACATACTTTTTTCTGTATTTTCATTATTCATTTTCTTGTCTCTTTTTCAATTTTCTTACTGTAATACTTTAAATAAACTATTCTTACAATTAGATCTTTTTCTATTAGTTCTATACAGAAGTCAAATGTATCCTAACTGGTTTCTAAGATTCTTTTCACCAGTTTTGCTATCTATTTATCAATTTCTTCTATTTCTATCCTATCATCTATTATTAAATTTAACTCTTTCTCTTTAGATTCATTTTTTCTTTCTATTGAGAGCTTTCTAAATTCTTTGATAATTCGTTCTATTTCTTTTTGTCATACTTTACTCTATTGAGTCTTGTAAGTTGAGCATTCTAGCAAGTGTTCTATTGTCTCTTTTTTTTGATCATATATAATACATTTCACTTGTTTATGCAGATCCGGTCTTCTAAGAATTAACTTAGTTATATTGATAGCTTATTATTAACCAATTTAATAAGAAAGTTTTTGTTTTGTGAGCTCTTAAAGAAGGTATTTCATATATATCTATTCTTAAATTGTTTCTATACTAGATTTCATATATATTTGTGTTGATCTTGGATTTGCTGGTTTTATCTCTTTTCAATTTTATCTTGAGTTATTCATTGATAGGCTGTTACTTTATTATTTGTTTTTTTTTAATAGCTTGTCTTATAGAGGTATCTAGCATCGTATCTTACTATTTAATTTCTATGATGATCTTGAGTAAAACTAAGTTTTTCCATTTTATCACTAGAAACCTTAGTGCTTCTTTAGCAAAAGCATCCACTTCTTCATTATACTAAATATTAGAATGTGTCTTAACCTTAATAAGCTTGAAATCCAGTTTCTTTTTTTTTATAAGATCTAATATACATACCTACAAGGACCAGTTTTATTCTTTTAACTATCTTTTATGGATCATTTTTAGATCCTTCTTTTCTATAGTTTTCCATTTTGAAATGCAAGCTTGACTATCTATAAAGATCTTGATCTTGCTATCTACTAGAGTTACTAGTAGTATAGTTATTATTGTTATTAATTCTGCTCTAATGAATGAAGGTTAATCATCTACTCCAGTTTGAAACTTGCTTTCTCTTCTTATCTCTTCTATTTGTATCCAAGCTACTCCCATTTTTATATTCGTACTTCTATGGTTTATAAAGGATCTATCAGTGTAGAAGGTCATTGATTTTTTTTTTCTTGTTATATTTAAATATTTCGATCAGATAGGATTGATAAGTACATTCTTCAATATGATTTTTGATGATATTTATTTTCCAATTCTTTATTTCAACCTGGAATATTTTTTCATTCTAAGTAGTTACTTGATCACAGCATATTTTTTTATATATCATTCTTTTCAATGCTTCTTTAAAACTTGAGATTTCTAGTAACACTAGTCGAAATTATGTTATTCGGTAGCTGAATTATTGTCGAATTTGATTAAATTTAATAATAAAAATATTGCTGAATTCTTTTCGATTGCTGCCACTCAGCATATTACATTTCAGCAATAAAGTGGCAATCAAA